AGAGTGAAACATCGTCAGAAGTAATACAATGATTTATTATTGTAATATTTGTTTTCAGACCTTAGTTCGCTTATTCCTTTTATATGTTGGTGTAACAATAAACAAATATCAAGCGGCAGATCGGTGTTTTGGTTTTTGCGTCCATTATAACTAAGCGTTTCTGAAATCTTCGAAGAACAGCGTGGGCTCGAGCGTAGCGAGAGCTGGGCATTAACGGTTTATGAGACGTGATTGACAGATTCTGGCGGTGGAAACAGATCTGGCGGATTCAAACAGTTGGTGAAAGTTTGGATAGTCACCGTTCATCTTTCCTGGTGCCGGTCAAGTCCTCTTTGAACAAGCAATATCTGGAACGTTTTTGGAATTGGGTCAAGTTCAACAATGCCTGGGTCAAAGAAGGGACAGAGTGTCTTGGATGCAAACAGGAAAGTAAGTCATGGTGACTTGTCTGTTAATTGTAACGATGTGTCTGATGTTAAGCATGACATGGTTGATGTTACTGTTTCGCCGTTCAGGGATAATAGGAACATCAAACTCCCTAAATTAGAACCACGGTGTTTCGATGGAAACCCGGCTGATTATTTACAATTTGTAAAGGAATTTGAGATCATGCTGAGTAGTTTTTTATTAAATGATGAATTGAAATTGATGTATTTGATGAGGTATTGCACTGGAGATGCTTCAAGAGCTATACAGTGCTGTAAGCTCATGCCCCCTAATGAGGGATACGCTGAGGCTATGAGCATACTACGTCAAAGGTTTGGAAGACCTTCGATGATTGTAGGGAAATTATTCGAGGCTGTTGAGGGTAATGGTGGTCAATTACAGGATGACTCCAAGGCACTCACTGAGTTTTTAGATAATTTGCTAATTTACAAGAATGGAATGATTTCGATGAATCGCATGAGTGACATCAACTCGAGTTTTATACTAGAAGTAATAGCAAGACGTCTACCTACTCGACTGCAAAGGAAGTGGGTGAAGACAAGCTCCCGTATGGAGGATGAGGGTATCTCAGCCAAAGTTTGATGATATCCTGAAACTGGTAAAAGATAGCGTCAATCAATCTATGAGAAAGTTCGCCAGTCTATTACATCTCACCCCTAGAATAGAGCAGTCTGAGTGCAAAATGCAATCATTGATGACGAGTAGGCCTCAGAGAGGTGGATATCGAGAAGGCTCCATGATGTCTAGTAATGCATATAGACCTAGTGAGTGTAACAGGTTTCGTAGTACATCCTCAACAGATAAGTTACAAGATGCAAGACAAACACGGTTGTGTTTTACACGTTTGCAAGAGGTGCATACAGAAGTGAACTGTGAACCGGTGAGCAAGTTCAGTGATAAGCTAAATGTAAACTCCAGGTCTGACTCCGAATTGTGTGACGATAACGGTGCGGTCAAGAAGTCTGTAGTTGCAACTGGTAAGCCATTGTTGAATAGAGTGTCACAGAATAGAGTTACTGCTTCAGAGTGCAGTTCTGACTCCATAAGTTTACAAGGTATTACTAGTCAGAGTGAAGTTATAAAACCTTTTAGGATTTGCGAGGAGGAACCAAAATTGTCCACTTCTGTTATTAGAGAGTTTGAAAATGATGAAGTTGACGGTAAATTGAATATTTGTGGTAATGATCATGATAGTGCAGATTTGTCTTTGGTTGATCATGATGAAATGGAGGGAATGCCTACTACCGCTAAGTTAAATAAAGGTTCTGTACAACTTGAACGTGAAGTAGAAATAAATGCAGATGCAGTTGCAGAAGGCATGCATACTTGCCAAACCGTCAGTGTAATTGATCAGAGAGAAGCCCACCTATCATCAGATGCTAGTCCTAAAGCGGAGCTGATAGTAAAAGACAGCAGTGGTGGTGGTCTTGCAGGTAGACAAATTTCTGAAAGTCGAGCAACAACAGCTTTTGATCCACCGCTAAGTTCATCAACTGGTGTCACACAGTCGTCGTTGGTGCTGTCATCCACAATGAAACAGTCGCCCATCAACTCAAGTATCTTGTGCAATGACTATGATAGTATTGGTGCATTTGAAAGGAGGAAAGATATTGCTCAGTTTAGTGAGGATAAGCCAAGTGTAAACGAGAGAGTAATTGTTAAATTGACTTGCACGAATAAAGGCATTTCTAGTTTCAAGTTACTATTTGAATGCTTTTATCTTTGGTGTAAATTACTCTGTTTCTACACTTGGTTGATGAGATATGCCGTGTGTTTGTTGGTCATCTATATTCTACGATACAATGACATGGGCGTGTTGCCGTTCAGATTTGAGGATATAGCTGATAGAAGGAAATCAGCAAATGAACTCTGCGACGATTTTCCAACCTAGAGTGTCAACCTGAGAGGGGTTGTAGACGTACTGCTGTAAGTCCTACAGTTCTTCAAGGGTAGTTTGCCGTGCCAGAATACACAACATTTGAAGTGTTGATTGTACATATGTTTGTGTTAAATAATTGTGTGAGTTCCAATTATTGTAATTGTTGGTTAATCTTGTTTGTGTCCGTACATTCCACAACTTACAATCGTCAACCTGAGAAGGGTTGCAGGCGTACTGGTGTAAGTCCTGCAATTCTTCAAAGGAATTCCACCAAGACATGAACTGCGAGTTTGTGTGTACTGTTTGTATATATGTGTGGTGTGTCATATCAATTGGTGTTTTTTGGATTCATTGTGTTTACTTGTTGTTTTCGTATCTTGTTGTTATTGCGTAATTTTGTTAAAATTTTCGTCATGATTATTTCTGAAGTTGTTTCGAGTCTTCTACATACATGAATGAATTGATTGATGTTAAGGACAGCAGATGGGTCGTATACGCAGGGGAGGCTAGGCTATTGCTGAGAATGAAATGCACACGGAGGTAATTGTTAGCTGCAGTCCGACACGCCGGGGAGAAAGAGTGTAAACGACTGAGGCTCGCATGCGTCACCGCTACTAGAACTGAGGCAGAATGAGTGACAAGCGATTGCAGTGGTAATTGGTAGTGAGTAGATAAGAGGATGAGCGTAGAGTATCGTGAGGTGGTGCCATGGTCACGTTGCATTCTGCAAGAGTCATTCTAGCAAGTGGCGATTAAGTTGCAAGAGGATGCCTTTAAATGGAAGGCGCAGGTCGTCATTGATGTGTGAGATTGTGCTGTGAGTATGCTTGTGGTGTGTTGGCTTTTCTGTTTGTTTTCCATTTCAGCTCTGTCCGTGTGACCCAGGTTCTCGCAATGGCATCCAAGTCAACGTGTATTGGTCGTGAAGGAAAAAAAGGTTGGATCCCTTTTGTGCCGGGGAGTGTCAATGTAGTTGAAGATTGAACGATCAATTCATGGTTGTTTGCTCAAAATCAACTTCCCCAATTTTCGCGGAGGCATCAATACGACAGTCATCGTCTCATCGGTCGCTGTTCAGAAAGAAGAGTGAAACATCATCAGAAGTAATACAATGATTTATTATTGTAATATTTGTTTTCAGACCTTAGTTCGCTTATTCCTTTTATATGTTGGTGTAACAATAAACAAATATCAAGCGGCAGATCGGTGTTTTGGTTTTTGCGTCCATTATAACTAAGCGTTTCTGAAATCTTCGAAGAACAGCGTGGGCTCGAGCGTAGCGAGAGCTGGGCATTAACGGTTTATGAGACGTGATTCACACCGGTCGTCGAAAGTTATTATTTGGGCCCATATCTCTAGTTTGTTACGACTACACAATTATTTGTACTTGAAAACAGTGAGGTCAATACCAAACAATTACACATAACATCTAGGTGAATACCAACCAAAACACAAAATGTGAATAAAATGAACAAAACTTCAACTAAATAGATCACTTTGAGTGAACTAAAAAGCTTCTGATTTGGTTTATCAACAAAAGCAGAATTTACTTCACAACGTTAAAAATGCCACTCTCCTTTTTCAAAGCGCGCGAGACCGTTCGCGTCCGGATATATAACTAAAGAACATAGTGGGGAAGTTGTCGAAAAGTATATTCTTTGTTCGAGATTAAGTTCTTTGGAATTTTAGACGGACAGTTTTGATTGACTGAGATAAATTTTCCTGAGAAATACAAGCTTACTGTACATCAGCGACCATTGAAAGTTTCTGAGCAATCTAACAGGACGATACAGGTTCACATAGTCAGCAAGTCACTCGGAAATAATGCCAGGATTATTGTGATGTCTTCTGGTAGTATAAAGTGTTAGGCTGAAATAACGTATGCTTCAATGATGAGACCGGGACCATCGGTATCATAATCCTGAGAAGTTTAAGTAATTTTTTGTCATACAGTTGTTGACTGGACATTATGGATATATAGAACTTAGTTGGGAATTGCAATTACAGTGGCCTTGGTAAACCGAGGAGCGTCATATTCACAGGCCTTACACAAAACTGAATTTGCTTCGCGACTTGCCATAGGTATGCACTCTTGCTGTCCTACTTGTATCACACCAAATCCCGTTGCCCTACTTCTCATTAGTTTAGTTCCCTTAAACTCACCTGTTACCCTTTTCTCCACAGCAATCTTTGAAACAACTGAAGGATTGTCTGGAAAGTCGAAATTTGCAAGTTCAAGCAACGACACTACCATGGTATAGACCATGCTTTCGCCTGAAATAAAGTAATATACATACTCCCATTTTGCACATTCATGTTGCAGCAGAAAAGGAGACAGACTATACAGGTCTCCCTGAAAAATGAAGAGCCGTTCCTAACTAGGCGTAAATAGGCATAAAGAATTCCTTGCATTCTTATTTGCCGTTCCAAGAGATATTGGAAATTGAATTCAGGACCGCCTCCGTTATCTAAATCCCGTAATTTGAAGGTCGACTCTCTACTCATGTGCCTCGTCGTTTCCACGAGATTTTCCGCAGTTTATGAATTCAAGTCATCACATATGAAAAAAAATTAAGCAAACTTCTACATTTCATTATATCCAGTCCATTCGCGATTGATTAGACAGTCTTACCAGTGCACATATCAAAATAATCTTTTGGTTTTACGTTGGAAGATGTTGAACTCTGAGACTTTGTTAGATTCGGATGCAGAGGATGATATTGAATTGGATACAGTGGTTGCATTTGCAGCGCGTCATTTAGTGGAGGAGATAGAAGGGCAGGTGTTGTATCAAGAAAAATACCACAAGGAAAAGGTAATACATCTGATTAAATTATATAACTAGCAGATTAAAACATTAACGGTTGCTCTTGTTATATGCCTAAATATCGATATTGACCCACCTGATGTGCAGAAAATCCCACCATTTTCCAGGGTTGAAGCGTGGTTCGACCCGACAGATGCTAACAGTCTGCATGCTTTGGAAACCATTGGAAAAAATTTACAGGTAACAACATATATGGGTTCTTCCGAGTTAATTTTTTGACAGCATATTTTTAATTATTTTACTCTTGGGTCCTCTTCCGGAAAAATTAAAGGATAGCGACCTATAGGAACGAACGCCTTGTTGACCGTGAAACGCGTATTGAGATCTCAGATTCGGATATTTTGGCTGAGGATTGAGGGCTCTAAGTACAGTCATTAGAGGGTCCTGAGACCACCTCTAGTAGCTGCAGGGATTTATGACTGTGAGGACTAGAACATTACAGTGATATGGTTCCTCCTAGGCTTCTGAACTCCCGCTGTGTCCTTTGAGGTGTCCTAACATGATGGGAAGGAAAAGAAAAAGTAGACCAGGTCTATAGTCATCGTTTAAAATATCAATCAATGTAGTGAGACCTCTCTGCGTACAGCACAACAAGCATAATAGATTCAAACTGTTTGGCCTTTCATCGTACGGTAAGCTGGTCATCCAGAGAATCATACGTATTGATTTCCCGGAATTTGAGTCCCTCTTAAGACAAAGACTGGCTACAGCTTGCTAGTATTGACCTCACTAATAATGCATATGAAGAAGTGGGTATCTCTGGTGATCACAGTAAACGCTATGCGTGTCTCCCACAGAGATATAAGACTGAGCTACCACTGTGAGGAAAATTGCTGTAGTTTTTAAGTCTTGACTTATTATGACGCCTAGATGTATGCGAGTCGCAACTGATGAGAGTGCTGTTCCTTCTAGTTTGTATCGGTTGACTTTTGCGTGTCCAGTGTGCACGGTTGCATAATTCGCTACGTTTTTTGGACCAATCTAGAAATTAGCTGAGATCTTGGAACCTGAACTTTTTATTATCTCGCTTTAACTCTCCAGATTTTGAAGTTGTCTGCGTAAAGGACCATGGGGGGCTCTGTGAGCACAGTTAACTCGTTGATATACTAGATGGATAAGAGGGCCCAACTACGGTGCCCTGTGGTATTCCGCTATGGACTGTCATCCAGTAGGAGAGTTTTGAATTGATCCTCACTCTCGGTCTCCTACCTATGAGGAATTCCTTAATTCAATTTTATAAGCCGGCCTTGATTCCAAGGCTTTGAAAATTCATGGGCAGTCTTGTGTGTAGTACTTTGTTGATGACAATACTGAATTCTATGAAAATGCCATGACGAGTTTTCCACTGTCCCTTGGTCTATCTTTCTCTTGCTTCAAGGTTTGCCAGGCATGAGCGGTTTCCCCGGAAGCTATGTCGCGCTCTAGACAAGTGGTTTTTCAGATGCGCCATAGTTGTTTTCCTGTTGATGTCTTCCAGAATCCTAACTAAGGTGCTGGTGAGACTGATGGGCTTGTAGTGTGAAGGACAGTGTCTTGATCCTACTTTGTGGTTGTGGGTTGCTATGGCTTCCTTCCAGTCATTTGCTAGCACTCCATTGAAGAGAGATAGCTTGAAGATCTTAGTCACTGAGCCGACTTTGTGAGCTGCCTTGAGTGCTCATCGGATATTATTGACTTCTTTAGGGAATGGAATATTACGATTTGGTCGATGCCGACGAAATCTCTTATTTCTGTGGTGCGGAGTGGGCGTCGACTTTTGTAGTGGGACTTTGGAGAAGTAGTCTGCTATTGCCTGAGTTCTTTCTTGATCCTCTTCAATTGTGTCGTTAACGATAGTCAGCTTTACGGCCTCATCGGATCTCTTATTCCTGGGGTTCATTAGCGAATTCGTTTTCCTGGTTTGTGGCGTAGCATTTTGAGCTAGGTGCATTTCGAACTTCATCCTTGATTGAAGAATTCCTGCAACAACTTTGATCCTGGAGACTGTAGAAATTCCTAGCCTCTTAAGTTTCAAGCGTGATGACTGGGTCCCAGCACTTATGCTCACTCTTGAGCAATATGCAGTTCTGTCGGTTCATATATGGTGGACAATATTTTCGACCTGGTGATGAAGAGTTGGGTTACCCGAGCGTAAATATGCTCCTATTGGACCCATGTAGCTTCCACGTGAGATTCTGAATTTATGTACAAGTCTTGTGATGTGGCTGATGAAACGATAGCATTTGTGCCAGCCCTCCCGACGTTTGGTCGAGGTGGGGTTTTTGTCCATGGTACCGCTGAGGCTGTAAACTTGAATGTAAGAATAGCGTAACGACTTCTTAGGGGTGGTTAGTGTTGTAGGTAGTCCTCATCCTCCCCACGATTCTGTCTGCTGCTTAGAAGTCCCCAATGCCGCGCAAGGCTAGGCAATTCTTGAGGTAGGTGACTAGATGACTACACCACCCTTTTGCGGCTTGGTCAGTCTGCCCTATGCGCTGTGAAGTTTGAGGTGAATTTTATTACCACTGACATTGGATGTAGGCCATGTTCCCATAATGGCATAGACATCCGGGTTTTCATAGTCTACCATACAACCCAACTCAGTCCATTTGTTGAAGAGACTGTTGGCATTACTGTAGCAAACTGTTAAGTCAGTTTGCTGCTTCCATGCTCCACCCGCAGTTTTTAACTAATCAGACTTTCAACTTTTACATCTAGGAAACCCTTATTGATGAGGTTCTTGCCGTTTTAGCCCCGTAACAATCCCTTAGTAATTCCAAAGACCTCAATGTTAAAGAGAAGAAATGCAATATATATATATATATATATATATATATATATATATATACAAAACGCGCAATACATCCATTTCCTTAGTTTCGTGTCCATTAAATATAAAAGGTACATTTTGATAAAGAAAGAAAGACCATATTTGCAGTATAAAGTGATATCATTCTATTTCTCAGGTTCCCTTCAGCTGCAAAATACCTGAAGTCGCAATGGTTATAAGTATTAACAATAAGATGCTTCAATGTCTGGATGGTAGTGAAGTTAACGCATCCAAAATATAAGCATCACAATTTTGAGTTTGTCACCATCAGTTTACATACTTTCAAAGTAGAAAAGGAGGTGAAGACAGAAAACAGGAGAATCTAATAAGCAATGTTAGCTTGTAGTTTCACAAAACAACTCAAGAAGGTTATAATTCATAAAACCGAAAACTTGCTCAGTGCGCTGAAACAACTGATAGGGGTGACTAATCAATATAATCAAAATGCAGTTACCAAGGGAATGAGAGATTGAATAAGTTTGAGTGGAGTCATCTAATTAGACCTCCTTCAGCAAATCGTAGTACATTTGCTACTCCTTGTATTTCTAGTATCGTCAAGGATTTGGAAATCTTAATGAAATGACCCGTATTCACAAGGTGTCTGGTAGTTGCACTTTGCGAATATCTGCTTCCTTTTAGACACAAGTTTCTTGCGATATCCTCTGGAGGTCTTTCTGTTTTTCCAATTTATTTGCTTCCTCAAGTGCACGTAAATTTACAAACGCAGTTGGAGGTGACATCAGCAGGGCTTTTATCAAGTTTCACTTAGCTTATGGAGTTTGTGGTGCCGTATAGCGTTACGACCTTAGCTGCAGAAAAGCGTATTTTTATATCTCCTTCCATTCTCTTGTCAATCTTTGGTAATACTGCTTCTCCTTTGAGTAGGAGACAAATGAACACTTTCTTGTTTTCAACAGTTGGGCATTTAATTTTCTCGCCTTTTTCTTTGCTGTTATACTTTTGGATAAATCCTTTTTGGTACTCACGGAAGAAACCCTTATTTATTAAGTTACAATTTAATAGGATTTATCAGGTAAGATTTTGTTGCAGAGACTAGCCAGAGGTATACGGAGAACACTTTATACAACAAACCAATGTTTGTCATTTCCTAGTTGGTGAATGATTGGGACTCAAGAGAAGCATAAGCTAGATAGTTGTGCCACGTCCGTGTCTGTTTACAATTCAGGTGCTCTTGCAGAGACGGTTATGTTGGGCGTAATACTAAGAAGGCTAACCAACGTATTATTGAGCATCTTCCATCACATTTTGGCAAAGGACAGACACAAACCATTCGTAGCTCCGTTTTGTCATATCTAGTTGAGAGGAGTCAGTTAGTGGAGAAAATAAAAACATTCAAGGTGATCCATCGCATCCCACCGAGTCTTTCCGTAGCAATAGGTATTCGGATTACTAAGCGTTAACTATGCATTCAGAAGAAGTTTGTATAGCCGCTTTCCCTCCCTTGGCCAATTCAGTCCTAAGCAACTGATGATATCACCACGACCCCTTACATATACTTTTAATTCCATTCATATTATCCTTTAATCTTATCACGTCTTCATAAAAACGTAGTTCTTTTACTTCCCTTACAATCTAGCATTACCTAGTCAAATCATTCGTTTTTCTTGGCCTTTATCGACTGCGTCTACCTGGACATTTGTTTGTTTAACGATTCTGTTTTTCATTACTCTTGTTATCAGAAGCCGTTCCACAATTTTTCTTTATTATTAGTAGAATTATTATTATGGTTAATTTCACCATTTATATGTACGATCTTATCATCCCATTGATTAGTTTATATTTAGCACTTATTTGTAGTTAATAAGAACACAATTGCAGTGAAGAAAATTTTCTTTTCTTTTCGACGAAGAAAAGAAAGTTTTCTCCTCTGCAATTGTCTTCTTAATAACTCCTATGGCCCAATGTATATATTCCGTTATTCGTAGTTATGTATATTAGATTTTAACCTGTTGAGATCTAATTAGAAACAATATTATTCGTTAAGATGTGTTATTCTTAACATGAAAGAGTTTTGGTTAGTTGCTGATTCAAGACGCTTCAGCGTATTTTTGCAGCTAATGCTATAGACGATGAGAATGGAATATAGAAAAACGGATATCCTTTGAAGTTTCTGAATCAATGTAGAGGGCAGTTAGCTTCAAAGCCTGTAGTTTGTTCAGTTTCAATTAAGTCTTACAATGGGGAAGTAAATAGTAGGATTTTGAATCAGAGACTAAGTTCGGTTAATCGAAAAACTTGGTAGCTCGATTTAAAATTATTGAGAAGGCTCTGTTGTAAGCCTCAACGTTGCACATGTGATTATAACACATCCCATATTATGTAGCATTTTATACATGTGTGGTCACATACGTAGGGAGAAATGGTGGCGTTTCTCACTTGTGTGTGGAAGAAGAGACACCCAAAAGGCTTAAAAAAGTTGAAATATGAAACCTGGATAAAAGTATTTGGTAGAATTCCAACCTCTTTTATGGTGAAACACTTTATGGGTGGATTTCAAGATGGATATCAAAACGGTTTTTAAGATTATTTATGAAAGGCGTCAATAGCATACACTGATATACGCTGAGGCGATAGATTTCCGTTAAGCTGAGTCCCCCCTGTAGGTACAGGAGCAATTTGTTAATACCCATAACCCACCTTGGTAATCCTTTACTAATTACATTACCAACAGTAGTGTGAATTATTATCCTTCATATTTCTTAAGTCTCTTATCATTTTGTTCATTTTAGTTGGCCTTTCATCTTCGAAATGGGTGTGTGATAAGATTACACACACTTTTCAGATAAACTCCGTCTTCTTATAACAGAGAGGTTTTTCACGGTGTTCAAAGTGTTCCTGTAACTGATTGACGATTTACACACTAGATATTTATTTAAACATTCAACCTATTAAAGGAATTATATATATATATATATATATATATATATATATATATATATATATATATATATATATATAAAGCTATTAGCATTTAATAGCGTAACGTCAGTAAAAACAATATCGTTTTGTTTTTCATTCATTGGGAAGTACAAAAACCTTTATTATAAGATTCAACCTATGCAGTACGAATTAAGGGGTTTGTAGTATTAAGAAATAGAGAATTTCACTTCAGCGCTTCTGAAACAGTAGTTTTCGCCACTCTTATAAATGTTATGTTTTAATAGCAATGAATCTGTACATCAATGGTTTGTGTGACAGACTCAGAAGTAAGATTCACTTATCAATTTCTTTATTGCGTCATTATTTCAGTGTCAGTATGAACGGTGGCAACCACGTGCAAGATACAAGCAGTGCCTTGATCCTACTCTGGATGATGTGAAGAAATTATGTCTCAGTTTGAGACGTAACGCTAAAGATGATAGGATTTTGTTTCACTATAATGGACATGGAGTTCCAAGACCCACGGAGAATGGTGAAATATGGGTTTTTAACACTGTAAGTACAAATAAATTGGCCGAACCTGTTCTGGCGATATCTGTTTTCATGATTTGATCTATGCTTATATATTAAAAAAAATTTCACCGTTACTTCATACAATCTTTCGCTAACCGATTTCTTTTGATTTTTTATTATTTTTGGTGGGTGCGCTAGCAAGTGGCACTACATTTACATTGAGTGGTTCTACAAATTGAAGTTTAGGTTCAAGGACGCTTCAGTGTTATGTTAAATGTCTTCGTCACTGTATCAGTTGTTTCTCATGATGTATGCTCCTCATTTCGTAGTTAGTTAAGATTACAAGTTTACCTAGATTTTTGTTACAACTTTGTTTTTGGCATCGACCACTTTCATTGTTGCTCTTCAATTTAAACTCACTCAATGATATTCCCAATAGTTTATTATTTTTGCATATAATAAGATATGTGAAGCTTAAATAGTTCGAATGTGCTCATTTCACTTCATTCTTATGAAGGTGCTTAATGTTTTCTTCACGGATATGATCATTATTAGTGTGCCAAGTAACAGTTAGACTCAAATGCTTTGGTTGATTTACTGTGTAAATGCTTTGCAAAGAATTGAATGGATTGTTTTCTGTTGTATATCTTATGTGGTAGAAGTAATTGAGGTATTTTTTAGTGTAATGTCAGTTTACTCCATTACATGGTTTGTGTTTATTTTGGTTGTTGTATTGTTCAGTTCTCCTTATGTATACACACTGTGTTGGACAGTGTTTACAAAAAGTAAGTGCAATTTGGTTACCCTGTAGAAATTCTGAAGTGATAGGTTAAACTGTAGCTGATATGTGAAGACTTTTATAATACTATCTGGCCATCGAGCCCAAAAGTAGGTAGAGCAGGGTTTGAATACTCGATCCATGGGTTAAAAGTCTAGTGATTAAATCATTGAAACACACTGACGAGAATTGTTTTAGACTTTTCCAAACATTCGTACCACTTGTTCTGATTAGATTGAGTTGTAGTTGATTATCAGCATAAGGGAAGCATGAACAATAATATGTTTTTGTGAATTGATTTGCCTTGACTAGATGAAATTGTGTGAACCCTTAAGGTCAAAATTGGTACAATTGTGTGTTGTTTGAGTTTGTTGATAAGGTGTAGTTGACAATTGTCATGTAGTTCAAGCGGAGTTTTATGCATCTTAAGGAATTTGAATTCTCGCTTTTTGTTGTCGCTGTCGAAGAAATTTTGAAAAATCATTAGCTTGTGTTGATGATGGTAGGAGAAACAGGATATTCTGGTAGAACACCATTTAAGTGTACTATAGGAATTCAGGATAGTCATTCCTTTACGAGAATGTTAGCATTTGTTTCATCACGTCCTAAAAAGTTTCGCTCCAAATGCATCCACTGATTCCTTTGATATTATGACTAAAAACTTGTTGAGTGATTTGCTTTTCTGTTAGATCAAACATTTGATTCCCAATTTCAGAATTATTTAGTAGTAGAATAAGCGATTAAAAATGCCTGTTAAATTTTCAAAAGAATTGTTACTAAACAAAGAATACCCTTTCGATAACTTCATCATCAGGTTCTACAGTTCTACATACATGATAGTCTGTCTGTTTTCGACATAGAACTTTGCACAAATGTGCACCAGTTCAAGTCGCCACATTCCGTGTAACACACAAAGGAAGAGAAGAAAGTACAAGAAAAGCATAATAGAAACAGTGAGCAGAGGTGTGAGACACAGGAGTAATAAAGAAAAACAAAACAGTTTCATTGGAGATCATAAGTCACAAGGAGTGGATGCATTTGCACTGGCCAGCCGCTGAGAACGATTTTGAGCCATGTCACCAATTGATTCCAACCATAGATTTTTACCGTCCCGAGGACCCCAGCCTGGAAGTCTACACCTTCCTACGTGGCTTAGACCAACTGTTGTGAATTTCATTGACTGCCTCCAAAGCCTCAGGATGGTCGGGGGTGGGTGTCTTGCGCTGCGGGTTGGCCACCCCTCCGCACACCTCTTGAAATGCTCCCATATGACCGGGCGTCTTACATAGCCTCTCCTGAGGAAGTCCTACTCACTGCCTTCACGTGGCGGAGGTGTTTCTCACCAAAGTGAGAGGGCGAAAGCGGATGCCCGGCGCTCTCCACCGGGTTGACTGTCCATTGGATGACGGTCTAGGGGAGATGGCTAAACCCTGATTCCAAACCTCCAACGACTGGCGTATGAAGCTCACTGGAGCTCACCGGCAGACGTATGGACAAAGGGCTTGTTGGATGTCCTGGATGTCTGGCCCCATTCAAAAAGGCGTATGAACCGAACTCCGGTCACCGGCTGCCAATGGATAGTGGACTCCTTACTCCACTCCTACTGCCTTGTAGGTCACACTTGGCTGTGTGAAGGCTAGAGCTGCACTCTCAAACAAAAGGCCGAGCGATGCTGGGGACATCACTCGTACCAAATTCCCATGAAACTTCATGAACTCTCTTACAAATTACCGCGCCTGGGCAGCGATGATTCGAGACGTTCATGAAGCCGGCTCATCCTCCCGTAGGAGATAGTCGAAGTAAAGTAAAGTAAGTAAAGTATTTCATTGACTGGTGCCAAGTTTTTGTTTGACCGCCGCTAGCTTTTTTCCAGCCTGACCCTATATCCGCTAACATTGCTCGTCGAGGGAGGCGATGGCTTGGCATACGTAACACATGTCCTAACCATCTCAGTCTTTGTAGCTTCACGACTTCGTCGATTGATTTCCCCTGTTTACCTAGAACTCTACGCCTAACCTCAATGTTGCTCACCTTATTATGCCACTTTACACGGGAAATAGAACGCAGGCACCTATGATCAAAGACAGCTAGTCTTTTCATGTCTTCCACTCTCAGTGGCCAGGTCTCACAACCATAAAGGAGGACGGAGCGGACTGATGAGCAGTACACCCGCCCTTTGGTCGATAGTCGAACATCTCGTCTACGCCAGAGTCGGCGTAAACTAACAAATGCGAAACGAGCCCCTTGTATTCGTGCTGAGATTTCGTCAGAGATCAACCCGTTGGGGCTGATGGTACTTCCCAAATAAGTGAAGCGGTCAACGTGCTCTACCACTTCACTTCCTATTTTTAAACTAGGCGTCGATGTAGTCCAGTCCTGTAACATCATCTTGCATTTGGCGGGAGCGAATCGCATGCCAAACATTCGTAGATTGCGGCTCAAGGTGTTTAGAAGACTCTGCATTTCGTCAGCGTCTTCGCCTAGAAGGACTATATCGTCTGCATATTCCAAGTCAACGAGATTATTCCCGGTAGCAAGTCAATCCCTGAGTCGCTGAAGTCACCTAGGGTTAAGTCCATTAACACATCTATGATGAAGTTGAATAGAAAAGGAGATAATGGGCATCCTTGACGGACACCACTGGTCGTCATCAGTTCAGATGACAGCTCGCCGTAAGCCCTCACCTGGCTGTATGAGTACGAGTAGAGTGCCTTAATCAGTGCAATATATTTTCTCGGAATTCCCTTTACAGCCAAGCATCTCCAGAGAACTTCCCGATCGACAGAGTCGAATGCTGCCTTTAGGTCAAGAAATATAATGACTGTTGGACGCCGGTAGGAATGCCTATGTTCTAGAATCTGTCGGAGGGTGAAGATATGATCAATACACCCTCTTCCTGGTCTAAAGCCTGCCTGGCTCTCTCGTGTTTGTGCTTCCCGAGCACCACTCAGTCTACGCATGATTATTGAGCCTAAGACTTTAGATACTATATTAGTCAAGCTAATCCCTCTGTGATTATCACAGGAAGACTTGTCTCCCTTCTTGTATATGGGGATAATCAGTGACTTACACCAACCCGATGGGACTTCTTCTGATTCCCAGACGCTGCCTAGTACCTCAGTTAATCCGGACAGTAAGCTGTCTCCACCGTACTTAAATACCTCTGGAGTCATTCCATCAGGTCCCGCTGCTTTGCCTAGTTTCAGATTGGTGACAGCTTTAGTAACCTCAGTTAGTGACGGAGGACCTGTATCTATATCCCATTCAGGGAGGTGTTGGATGCTCGGAAGGTTGAGCGTGGCTGTGGGCAAATTAAACTGCTCCTCATAATGCTCTTTCCAACGATCCAGTCGTCTATCCTGGGAGCTAATTATAGTGCCATTTTTTTCCGAGATTGTCTCACTGATGATTTGTCTTCTCCCACCCGTTTCCCTGATGAGTCCAAAGAGTTGCCTGGTGTTGCCTATCCTCGAAGCTTTCTCCATCTCTTTGGCTTTTGTCGCCCACCACTGTTCACGGTCCTTGCGGAGACTTTTCGTAAGTTTCCTCTTGTGCAGCTTTCGCTCCTCATTGAATTCGGAGCTCGCCGGAATAAGTCTTCTAGCATCTATCAGTTCGGATGAGGCGGTGGAGATCCAGTGGTTTTTACTCACCTTTGGGTTTACCTTATTCACAGCTTTTACAGCTGTATCTATGGCTGCCTGGATATTTTTCCAAGCTTCTTCAGGGTGAGCACAGCTGTCGAACACAGATATGTGTTTAGCTAGTTCTTCCTCAAATACGGATTTAGTTTCCTGATCGAGCTGGGGACGTGATGGTTTTACCGCCAGCTGTTTCCTACGTCCGTTCAGTCGTAAGCACACCCGAGCGCGGACCAGTGCATGGTCGGTATCTACGCACGTGTTCCAGAAGGAGCGACAATCTCCTACCGACCCACGCCAACGATAGCTTATTGCTATGTGGTCTATTTGTGTCCAGCGTTGGTTTGATGAAGGGGGTCTCCAAGTCAAACAGTGTCTCTCCTTGTGTTTGAAGTTAGTGCTTACAAGAAACAAATGATTATCAGAACAGAACTGTAGGAGACGGTCACCGTTGTCGGTTCGCTGGCACGGAACTCCATAGGTGCCACCGACATCCTTCTCAGATTGACACAATTTCCCTACTTGAGCGTTAAAGTCACCAGCTAGAACGACTATGTCTGAGCGTTTAGCCTTTCCACCAAACTAGACAGCTTTTGGTAGAACTCATCCTTCGTTTCATCTGA